AATTCATGAACTTAAAGTAAGGCTTTTTTAATATGATAACTAACTAAATATAGTATACCAATTGGGTAATCTTGCTACTTCTGGATCTTCAACCATTGAAGCTGAGCTCGGTACTAGATTTCCTCTCAGTAAACCAGGAATGACCGACGCTTACAACTACGGAAAAGTTATGGGAATTTTTTGTGGAGCTGTTTTTATATATGTGATAGTAATCATATTTTTAGGGCCCGAGAGGTTTCACCAAGATTTATCCTCGAATAGAAATGAAATTAATGAAATTGATGAAATTAAACAATCTTCCGATGTTCTGGTCGTTGGTGAAGAGGTTATGATTGTTCAAAAGCAATAGTTAGCCCGCTAGAAACCAAAGATATGGGAGATGAGTAATAGGGAATCGAACAAAGGCTCCATCTCAAAAATAAGGATTCTTTAATACATATATAGTTTTATGATAAAAATGCCTATTGTTTTTTTTTTTAATTCGATTAATACAGGTCACTGGATATGAATACAAGAATCTGACTGGCCACTGAAAGATACTAATAAACTATCATAAGGGGGGAAGTGGTTAATTATATATGAAATCAAGCAAGTGAAGTAATTCATTAATTTTTGGCTACAGAAGAATTTTACTAAAAAATAACAGTAAGAGCAAGGTTCACATATGCCCCTAGTTTCCTAAACCAAAGGACTTAACAAGCAACCTTAGTTGAGCAAATCTATGAATGGTAAAATACTTACGTAGTTAAACAATACTGATAATTACCTGCATGTTGAAGCTTGGTTTTTTTATTGTCTGAACTGTACAGGCATGTATCCTCAATCATGCACGCTCGGTCTAGATCGTATATTTAGATCTAGGCCAAATTTACGACGATAAGAAAAATTCTAGATACTAGTTTAAGAATAGTTCTGTTACTTTGAAAACACCATATATTATACTTTCAGAATAATTATCCATTCAAGCATGAAACTGAAACTGGTTGGATAAATCAATATATCTACAACTGAAAACTCATGATACAAAAAATAGATACCAATCACCCCATAATGCGCGTGAAGTTTCCTTTGTTTAGCTAAAGTTCGGCGCATTCTGCGCGAGAGATAATTTATATGCAAGAACAACCGAAATTAGGCCGAAAAACTAAAAAATAATGTCCTTTAATTCAAAATGGTCACTGTGTATCATATCAATGAATGCACAAGATATTGCTTTAAGGTCAACCTTCGTCGTATAAACTTGGTTATTTTTCATTCAGCGTAAGCCTAACAATACTAATTTCAGCTCTCACTATTATTACTTTGCACCTATTATTATTCTACTAGTTTCATGATGCTAACGATCACCAGCAAGGAAAGTTTTGAAAGTACCAGAGCGGAAATACTTTCCAAGAGTTATTATTCTTACACACAAACGTCAACAGGTCATTGTAAAACAATTGCATGAGGGAATAAATTAATAATCATATCCTTTGATTTGTCTGTTTAGTTTGATTATTGTAGTGACTAGATTTGTAGATAATATATTCGGCATTTAAGGTTCCATTTTGGGAAATCTTCTTATTGTATGAGTTCCATAAAAGTAAAATTAGAGTTTGGCTACAATAAATGTCTATTATTGCTTCCTAAGTCTTTTCGATAGATGATGCCATAATTCAGGCGATTTATTTAATTGGCGGCTATATTTAGTGGCTCTCTACATCAAGTACGTAAGCGGAAAAGATATGCCTTTATATGCTTGGAAGGTATAAATCGCAAATAAATTGACCTTAATTTCCCCTGATATGTATTCATTTCCAGAATCCATTTATTACATTATTAGAACTACTTTGAAGAAAAATGGAGAGCACATTAGGAAGTGATTCACTAGAACCTGAAAAGAGAACTACCATTGACTCTGAAGGATTAAACCATCGTAACCCTGAAAGATTTGAAAGGGAAAATAGGTTGTCACCAGACCTTGAGGCTCAAGGTATTGAAGAAGAGGCCTTGGCAGTCAATCCAGCTCGTGAACCGTTATATAAGTTTACTATTTTTTTTACTGACGATGAGAAGAGAGTCTCTATCTATGGTGCAGAATTCTTCGGTACATACGTCTTCTTATTATCTGCTTACTTGATTGCTAGTGTTGCCAATCAGCAAGGAGTGGAAGATGGCTTCTATGCTCCTCGTGTGTATAACATTTCGTTTGGTTTCGGTATTTCATTGTTAGTGGTTGCAGCTTGTACTTCGAATTTTTCCGGTGGTCATCATAACCCTGCAGTAGTTTGGGGTTTATTTTTAAATGGAAACATTAGTATGTTCAGATTCTTAGTTGAAAGTATTGTTCAAGTAATTGCCGGAATGGCGGCGGCTGGAACTGCATCTGCCATGTATCCCGGGCCTGTAACATTTGCAAATGCGAAAGATGCATCTGTTAGCGTTACTAGGGGATTGTTCTTAGAAGCATTTGGTGTTGCTTTGCTAGTATTCACTGTTCTTTTTACTGCAATTGAAGTCAGTCCTTTTGGTGGAATGGCATATTTGCCCATTGGTTTGTCATTGTTCTTAGGCCACATGATTTGCGTTCCAACTACTGGAGCTGGTTTGAATCCAGCAAGATCTTTTGGCCCAGCAGTTGCAGCAAAAGATTTCCCAGGTTACCATTGGATATATTGGCTTGGCCCAGTTATTGGAGGAGCTGTTGCCGTATTAGCTTACAAAATAATTAAGTTCGGTCACCGTGGTACTATATTACAGGAAGCTAGGCTGAAGAATAATAACTAATTTTTATCTAGCTAATCCGCGAAAGTTTTCTAAAGAAACGAGCCACTTACTTTAATTAATGCCACTTTAAGTGCTCAAGCTACATAATCATATATATATTTAATATTTCCTATATATATATATTCCTTTAATAATATTTGAATTTTTAATAGATACTTTTGAGTATATAAAATACTACGACTTAATGCAAGTTTGCATGTAGAAATTTTGCAACCACTCTTACCAGTGCGCCTGAATTCATCACTAATCTGAAACTTGTATGATATAGAATCATAATATGCATCACATGAAATATATTGGGTCCATATACTACAATTCACTTACAGAGTTTATACTTTTTATAGAAAATGACGTTACATGGAAGAATGCGAATATCACGACAGTTTTACATTACTTCACGCTTTATCTCATCTAATGCCACAGTTTAAAGACACTCATAAATGCATCCACATGAAAAAAAGTTTTGTACCGAACCGAAATATTAGATCTATATTTTCCATCATTATATCTAAAGAAAAAGATTCTAGTTATTATTAAATTGAATTATTGAAAAACAAGGACATGGCAGAAGTTAGGAAAGTAGATGAGCGAAGCTCTCTAATCGACAAAACAGAAAATTTATTAGGAGTTCAGATTGAAGGGGATGAATATTCACTGTCACCCACCGTTAAACAATCTAGTTATATATTTTCACTGGTAGATAACTTCCTCTGGATTGAATTATCTTTGCTTACAAACGTGTTTCTTTCTGGATTTGATGGTACCGTAGCTGCTTCGATATATACTACTATAGGCAATGAATTTGGAGCTATGAATTTAGCATCTTGGATTACAACTTCATATTTGATTACTTCTACAGCCTTCCAGCCCTTGTATGGATCATTCTCTGATATCATTGGTAGAAGGAAATGTGTGATTTTTGCTGTTGTTTGCTTTTTACTTGGATGTATTGGATGCTCTATTGCTAAAAGCATGTTGATGTTAAACTTAATGAGGGCATTTACAGGTATAGGTGGTGGTGGTTTAATTACACTTTCAACTATTATTAATTCAGATATCGTAACTCCTGAGAAAAGAGGTTTATTTCAAGCTTTTCAAAATTTATTATTAGGTTTTGGTGCTATTTGTGGTGCTTCGTTAGGCGGGTATATTTCTCTGACATTAGGGTGGAGGTGGTGTTTCATAATTCAAATTTTTCCTGCTATGATAAGTATTATCATTACGTTTAAAAATATTCCAAATCAACCGGGATTTAATGATTCTTCTCATACTTCTATGGAAAACATATTTTCGAAGATTGACATAAAAGGATCCATAATATTAGTCAGTGCGCTAACTTTTCAACTTTTCGTTTTAACTTTGGGAGGTAATATATTGGCTTGGAATGATTATAGATTAATTTGTTTAGGAATTAGCGGAATTTCCTTGTTGTTTTATTTTTTGTATGTTGAATGCAATACTACAGCAAATCCTATAATTCCTATTAATAAATTCAAGGGATTATTTCCCATTTGTCTTATTGGTTTCAATTTTTTGATTGGTTTAGCAGGTTATGCTTATCTTTTTATACTACCATTATTATTTCAAATTGAGCTTGGTGATACTCCATCTAAAGCTGG